GGTTCATTTTTTTTTTTTTTTTTTGAGTTGGGAGTCTCACTCTGTCACCCAGACTGGAGTGAAGTGGCCGCTCCCGGCCACTGCAGCCTCGCCTGCTGGGCTCCGGCGATCCTTCCGCCTCAGCCTTCCAAGTAGCCAGAATTACAGGCGCACGCTACCACGCCCAGCTGATTTTTTTGATTTATTGTAGAGATGAGGTCTCGCTGCCCAGGCGGGTCTCGAACCCGCGGGCTCAGGCAATCCACTCACCTCAGCCTCCCAAAGGCGCGGGATTACAGGCTGAGCCACCGAGCCCGGCTAATGGGTTCATTTTTAAGACAAGGTCTCACCAAGTTGCTCTGGCTGGCCTTGAAGCCCTAGACTAAGGCAGTTTGCTGTACTTTGCCTCCAAAAGTCCTGGAATTATATGCATGAACCACCATGCCCAGTGTCTTGTTTTCTTTCTAGTCATCTGGTGCTGTGTTGGAAGCACTTGTCCCCTGAAGTCATCTACCTCTAACTCCGGTGATGTGGGTTCTGAACTCTGGAATATCTTCAATATTTATATCTTGATACACTTCCCTTTCCACTGTTTGCCATAAATACAATGATTCTTAGTCATTTCCTTGATTTACTCTGGAGAGAACAAATGGAAACATTAACATCACATAGTGTGTGAAACAGAATCTCGCAACACTTGCATTAATCACCTGGCAGCAGGAAGTGGTCTCAAAATTATTGACTGATACACTTTGTGTCATAGCTAATTTTATGCAGTTATGACTTATTATGGTATCTTTACATTTATTTACACATTTCCCAACTGCTGATGGTGCCATGTATACCCTGTAAGTGCATAAATTATGTTTACCTTTTTATGATAGATTTGTATATCTTTATGATAGTAAATATCAAAACAGACAAGAATATACTTGTATCTGATGTCCTCATGACATTTTTTTTTCATTAATCAGTATTTTTTATTATGGTTTTGTGGGGTACAGTTAAGGGTTAGGTGTACAATGACGTTTCATTCAGGCACCCTGTAGATAAGAAGTGTTTTCCCATCCCCCGACAGATATTTGCTACTGTTAATCCCATCCCCCTCCCCCCCATAGTTTCCCAGTACCATCAGTCATTTTCTCATAGTATTGCATTGGATATTCAAGGTCCATTATATGAGTGAGAACATGTGATATTCGGATTTTTATTTTTGTGAGAGGTCACTCAGTATTATAGACTCTAGTTCCATCCAGGTTGCAGCGAAATTCATGATTTTGTTCTTTTTTATGGCTGCGTAGTATTCCATCGTGTATATGTACCACATTTTTTTAATCCAGTCCTCTTTTGATGGGCAGCATGGTTGTTTCCAGGTTCTCGCTTTTGTGAACAATGCTGCGATAAACATACGTATGCAGGTATCTTTTTTATAGAGTGATCTGTGTTCTTCAGGGTATATTCCCAGTAGGGGGATTGCAGGGTCATATGGAAGGTCAATTTTTAGAGCTTTTAGGAATCGCCACACTGCTTTCCACAGAGGTTGCACTAGTTTACACTCCCACCAACAGTGTAGAAGTGCTCCCTTTTCACCACACCCTCTCCAGCAGCTGTTATTTTTTGAGTTGTTGATAATTGCCATTCTGAATGGAGTTAGGTGGTATCTCAGTGTGGTTTTGATTTGCATCTCCCTGATGATTAGTGAGGTTGAGCATTTCTTCATGTGTTTGTTGGCTGCTCGAATGTCTTCTTTTGTGAAGTGTCTGTTCATGTCTTTTGCCCATTTTATAATGGGGTTGTTTGTTTTCTTCTTTTCAGTACGCTTCAGTTCCTTGTAGATCCAGGATGTTAAGCCTTTGTCAGACTTAGAGTTGGCAAATACTTTTTCCCAGTCTGTAGGCTCTCCCTGCTCTCTTGATGGTTTCTTTGGCTTTGCAGAAGCTTGTCAGTTTAATAAGGTGCCATTTGTCCTCATAACATTTTAAAAGTATATTTCTGCCAGGTTCGGTGGCTCAGCCTGTAATCCCAGTGCTTTGGGAGGCTGAGGTCAGTTGATTGTCTGAGCCCGCGGGTTCTAGGCCCACCTGGGCCACTTGGCAAGACCTCATCTCTACAATAAAAATAAATAAATAAATAAATAAATAAATAAATAAAAGTATATTTATTTTTTTTTTTGAATTGGAGTCTCACTCTGTCGCCCATATTGGAGTGCAGTGGCCGCTCCCGGCCACCGCAGCCTCGACCTGCTGGGCTCCAGTGATCCTTCTGCTTCAGCCTTCAGAGTAGCCGGAATTAACAGGCATGCGCTATCACGCCCGGCTGATTTTTTGATTTATTGTAGAGATGAGGTCTCGCTGCCCAGGCGGATCTCGAACCCATGGGCTCAGGCAATCCACTCTCCTCAGCCTTTCAAAGGCATGGAATTACAGGCTGAGCCACCAAGCCCAGCTAAAAGTATATTTCTAAACTACGGTTCTTCTGTGCATTTCTTTTAAGTGATCACAAATTGTCCAAAAAAAAAAAATTCCAGTGTATTTGTTGAAGAAACATGAACCTATGGAGGTCAAACCCATGTTCTTCATAGACTGACAGTACAGTGAGCAAAACAGATATGGAAATAACAAGACATTATAATCTTGAATAACCCTATTTGGAAAACAGTCAAGCCAAAATAATTATGAATATAATAAATCAACATAAAGTGTATGAGATAAATATAAAATTAGATTGAGCTGACAACAGTACAGAGTGGAAATATTGAGCACTATTTATATACTCAATGTGTGAAACTCCAAGTGATAGTATTTTGATTACACTTCCACACAAATGGTGACTTGAATGTAAAATATGAAACATTTTTCCAACATTTATGTAGTGGTTTGAGCAAAATGTGAAAAAATAAAAGGTCATATCCAAAGATTTGATAATATATGTTTGTAAAATAATGTGACATAAGCTGGGCTCGGTGGCTCAGCCTATAATTCCGTGCCTTTGGGAGGCTGAGGTGAGTGGATTGCCTGAGCCCGTGGGTTCGAGACCCGCCTGGTCAGTGAGACCTCATCTCTACAATAAATTTTAAAAAAAAATCAGCTGGGCAAGGTATCGCATACCTATAATTCCGGCTACTCAGAAGGCTGAGGCAGAAGGATCACTGGAGCCCAGCAGGTCGAGGCTGCGGTGGCCGGGAGCGGCCACTGCACTCCAGTCTGGGTGACCGAGTGAGACTCTAACTGAAAAATAAATAAATAAATAACCTGACATAAATTCCTAAATTTGGAATTAATGTGTGTCAAATATAGAAAGGTAAAATGGTATTAAAAGCAATATTAGTCAAACTGCATGATACCACAAAAGAAAACACCTAAAAGCAGTGAGGAGCAAGGCATGGTGACTCAGGACTTTTCCCAATACACTGGGTGACTGAGGTGGGAGAATGTCATGAACCCAGGGGTTTGAGAGCAGCATGGGCAACACATACCTATAAAAATTAACAAAAAATTTGTTGAGTGTGGTAGTGCATGTTGTCCCAAGGTACTCAGGTGACTTAGTGGAAGAATTGCCTGAACCCATAGGTTGAGCCATAATTATGCCACTGAACTCCAGCCTGGTTGGCAGAGAGATGCCACTGAAAAATGTGTATGTATTTAAATTATAAATAGAAGTATATAAATGAATATAAATTAAAATTATAAAACAAAACTACACTAAAAGCACTAAGTGTATTCCCAAAACTTGTGTTTTCTTGAAAACAGGGAAACTAGTATTAATAGTGCTGATAGAAAGTATTATTAAAGGTAGAATTGGATGTGTTTAAAGAATAGGAAAAAGGAGAAATATTTTCCAGATAAAATACCTGAGAGATTTGATTACCAAGAGCAACTTCTAAGAAGCATACTCTGAGAAGAAAAAGTCATACTTCTGTTAGAAAATATAATGGAAGTGAAAGTGTAAGGGACATAATGAGGGAGAATCAACTTATGGTGGATACTCAGTTACAAACATTGTGTCGATGGCAACATCAGATTTTAAAATATTTAGATAGAATAAAAGTGTAGTTCCACCCATTGTCTTTAAATATAACAGAATTCTGTGCTTCCTAAATGACAAATGAATCATCTCGTTTTTAGAACATTATCCATCACTGACTTAATTTGTGATGGACCAGCCGGACTCGGTGGCTCAGCCTGTAATCCAGTGCTTTGGGAGGCTGAGGTGAGTGGATTTCTTAAGCCCGCACAGGTTTGAGACCCATTTGGGCAACTTGGCGAGACCTCATCTCTACAATAAATAAAAAACTAGCCTCGCATGGTAGCGTGTGCCTGTAGTTCAAGCTACTTGGAAGGCTGAGGTAGAAGGATCACCAGAGCCCAGCAGTTCGAGGATGTGGTGGCTGGGGTCGGCCATTGCGCTCCAGTCTGGGTGACAGAGTGAGACTCCAACTCAAATTAAAAAAAAAAATTAAAAAAAAAAAAAAAATATATATATATATATATAAATATATATGTGATGGGCCTTCCATTGCATATAATATTGGTTACTCTTTTAGCAGAACTCATTTGTAATTAAGGACTTACTGTGCATAGGACACTGACTTCAATGCTCTGAACAGTCTGAAGGGCTGGGTCATCTTTGCCTAACATGGGTGAGGAAGACCTGCAAGAAACAAATACACTGGAAGACAAAGTCTCTGCACATGTGTAAGCTTCAGTCTCCAGTGAGAAACAGTAGGTCACTACTTCTCTTCCAGCACTGTGGCTTGATCGTATAGTACATTTACATATATGGCTTACTCTCCTTTTAAATTTTGTATTTCCTGGATTCTCAATCTTTTTAAAAAGTCATTATCACACTGCTTTACTTTCCTAATCCTTGTTACGTATACTATCATCCTATTTTTTTCAGATTTTTATGGATTTCCAATCTAAATCCATAAAAATTTTCTTTTGTGCAAAAAAAAAAATTTTTTTCCTTCAGTATAAAAATAGCTGGAGTCTGTATCATTATCCGGCTCAATTGATAAACTGATTAGAGAATATCAACTTAATAATACCATTTAAACTTTCTTCCCAAAATGTGTTTTTATTACTTTTTATTTCTATTATTTTTCAGAAATATTATATACTACCTTATCATTTGATTTTTAAATGTATAATTCCTTTCTAAAAGTGTCACAATATCATTTTAATCTGCTAACATGATCATATGAGTTTCTCACTGATTCTGTTAATGTGACTAATTGTATTGATGGATTCCCAAATGCTGAATCTCCTATTCATTCATGTAAAGGGAGATCGATCATGATGTAATGTTGCAACGTGCTGGCACAATGTTTCTAATAATTTTTACATTTCTACTCAAATGTGATTTTTCTACAAAGAATGGATATGAAATCCTTAGTATGGAATAGAAATTGTGTGTTGGCATTGTCCTCATCCTGGAAAACCAGGTTTTCTATTCTAATCTATTTCTTTTTCTTTCATCTATTATTTTTGTTTTAAAATTTAGGGTGCATGTATAGTTTGGGTACCTTTGTTGATATTATGTCCTCCCACTCCCATAGCTATGTTCCAGTACTGTCACTTTCTGATAGTATTCTGAATAATGTTCAGGGTCAACTTATGACTGAATTCACATAGTACTCAGCTCTTTGTTATGTGATACATCACTGAGAATTTTTTTTTTTCTTGGAATCCTTTTCACCCAAGTGGGATTATAATAGCACTCTCATGGTCACCGCAGCCTCAACCTGGTGGGCTCAGGCAATCCTTCCACCTCAGCCTACCATGAAGCTGAAACTACAGGTACAGGCCACCAAGCCTGGGTAATTTTATTTTTTTCATTTATTGTAGAGAGAAATTCTTGTCAACTTGCCCAGGGTGGTTTCAAGCCCTTGGCCTCAGGCAGTCTTCTCATTTCCACCTGCCAAAGTGTTGGTATTACAAGTGAGAGCCACCATCCCTGGCACAATCACTTATATTATAAACTCGAAATCCATTCAAGTTCCTGCAAAGTAAATAGCCTTTGTTTCTTGGTTTTCTTTTTTATTATTATTCAGTGTCTCACTGTCACCTGGACTGGAGTACAGTGGCACTCTCATTGTCACCACAGTCCTGATCTGCTGGTCTCCGGTGATTCTTCCACCTCAGCCTTCCAAGTAGCTGGAACTACGGGCATGTTCAATGATGCCTGGCTAATTTTGGTTGTATTATAGAGATGAGGTCTCACCAACTTACCCAGGCTGATCTCAAATTTGTGGGCTCCCAAAGAGCTGGGATTACAGTGGGCCATTTTAACCAACCCTAGTAAGTATTAATTGCTCCATAAGTTATTTTTTTATTAACACATTCACCGTATTGACTGCATTTGAAGAAAATGGTGTGAGAGACTGGGCTCAGTGTCTCAGCCTGTGTCCCAGCACTTTGGGAGGCCAAGGTGAGTGGATTGCCTGAACTCGTGGGTTTAAGAACAGCCTGAGCAATTTGGTGAGACCTCGTCTCTCCAATAAATCAAGAAATTAGCCAGGTATCGTAGCACACCTTTAGTTCCAGCTACTTGGAAGGCTGAGGTGGAAAGATCGCCAGAGCCCAGCAGGTCAAGGCTGTGGTGACTGGGAGCGTATCACTGCACTCCAGTCTCAGTGACAGAGTGAGACTCCAACTCAAAAAAACAGATAAAACACACTAAGAAACCAAGACAATAGAATTTTAAAAGTAAAACAGGACATATATGGAATAAAACATTATTATATATATAAATAATATATACATGTGGATTAAAACATCAAAAGTAAAACAGGACTATATATATATATATATGTATGTATGTATTTATACTTTTTTTTTTTGAGTTGGAGTCTCACTGTGTTACCTAGGCTGGAGTGCAGTGGCCATTCCCGGGTTCCAATAATCCTTCCGCCTCAGTCTTCCAAGGAGCCGGAACTACAGATATTTGCTACCATGCCAGGCTAATTTTTGATTTATTGTAGAGATGAGGTCTTGCCAAGTTGCCTGCGTGGCTCTTGAAGCCGCAGGTTCAGGCAATTCACTCACCTCGGCCTCCCAAAGTGCTGGGATTATAGGCTGAGCTACCAATCCCAGCTAACTACTTTGGTTTCTGTAGTTCAATGTCTACCATAATTTGGTTTAAGAAGGCCCTTTCATTTTATCTTCAAACAGATGAATGATGTTACTTTCTTTCTTTTTTTTTGAGTTAGAGTCTCACTCTGTCACCTAAGATGAAGTGCAGTGGCACACTCATAGCCACCTGAGCACTGATGTGCTGGGTTCTAGTGATCCTTTTGGCTCAGCCTTCCAAGTAGCTGAAACTATAGGTATGCACAACCACACCTTGCTAATTTTTGATATATTGCATAGATGAGGTCTTGCCATGTTGCCTGGGATGGGCTCAAACCCGTGGGCTCTAGCAATCCAATCACCTCGGCCTCTCTACATGCTGGGATTACAGGTTGAGCCATCAAGCCCAGTGATCTTTCCTTCTAAAACTGTTCTCCTTAGAAGCTACTATTGACAATAAATTCTCTCAGGTATTCTCTGTTTCCTTGGAAAGTATTTGAAATTACTTTTATTCATGAAAGATACTGAATGTTTAAGAGCAAGAGTTGTGAGACTCTGCTTAGCACACTCTGTGTCACTGCTGTCTGTATATGAGCTGTTGGGCTCCTAGAGCCAATCAAGGAAATCAGAGAAAGTGAATGTGCATATGACAAAAAAGGGGAGAGGAAAGGGTCTCAGTAACTATTACACTTGAATAACGTAGCAAAAGGAAACAAACCAGCAAGCGTAAATTTACGCAACTATGAGTGTATATGTATATATTTTATCCTAACAAGTATACTCTAAAAATCAAATAGTAGCTGTCACACTCTTGAACAAGGAAATGCAGGGCTTCCAAGATGGCGGCCATGGACTGAAGCAGACAGAGTTTCGGTAATTAATGAAACAAAAGAAAACGTTCTACCTGGCTAGGGGCAGGGCGATAAAACTATCATGGTAATTTAGTTTCTAATCTTAGCCCTAGGGGAAACAGCTTTCGGGAACAAGAGCGGACTACCCAGTCTACCAGGAAATAGAAGTTAAAAAATATCTAGAAAGAAGTAAAACTTAGAAAGACAGAGAGAAATAATTCTGCTATGCACTTTCCATCAGGTGTATTGAGATTTACTTATAAGTTTTACTGCCATGTATGCACACTGGTCACTAATCACACGCCAATATCATAGGTATAACTGATATCCTATGTCAGAGGCGATCTTCCAGATGGGCCTTTACAGGCCTCAGCCATGTAGCTATAGATGTTGGCTCCCAACAGAAAGGGTCTCAAGATGTACCACACCAGAGGAGTTAATAGCAGATGACTTAATGGAGGGGAGTATTTCCAGCCCAGTGTCAGGTGACTAGAAAGAAGACACAGAAGAGGCTGAGTGTGGTGATTGATGCCTGTAATCCCAGCAGTTTGGGAGGTTGAGATGAGAGTATTGTCTGAGTCCAGGTATTCAAGACCACGCTCTATGATAAATCAAAACATTAGTTAGACATGGTGCCACATTCCTGTGATTCTAGGGACTCAGGAGGCTAAGGGAGAAGGATTGAGCCCAGCAGGCAAAGGCTGCAGTGACCATGAGCCTGCCACTGCACTCCTGCCTGGGTGACAGCAAGACTGACAATAAGAAAAAGACACCAAATCAGCAGTGTCAAAAAATAATTCAGCATTACACAAGCTGGCAGAAGTGTCCTGATTACAAATTGCTTTTCAATCTTTTATAACAGGGACCTTTCTACTACTGGGCACTAAATCAAAAGCATATAGCTGAGGTAAAATGGGTGCCATATGGAAACATTTTGAGAAAAATGAAAGTGTAAAAACATCAGACAGAAATTAAGATGTGTTTCTGAAAGTTGCATGAAGTGTCCAGCCTCTCCTACCTCTCCTCGTCTCTTCCGTCTCTGTCAACCAAAACAGCAAGACGATGCTCTCCTGTTTCAGCTCATCCTCAGCTTCTCATGGTGAAGATGGCAAGGAAGGAGAACTTTATGATGGCCCAATTCCATTTAATGAACAATAAAGATATACTTTCTACTTCATGATTTTCTTTTTTTTTTTTTTGGTTTTGAATTCAGTGGATACCTGTGCAGGTTTGTGACATGGGTATATTGTGTGATCGTGAGATTTAGGCTTCGTTAAACCCACCATCCAAACAGGGAAGATGGTGCCCAATAAGCAGTTTTTCAATACTTGACTCCCTCCCCCCACCTTCACTAGTCCTCAGTGTTTGCTATTCTCATCTTGATATCTCTGTGTACCCAGTATTTAGCCCCCAATTATATGTGAGAACATGCAGTATTTGGTTTTAACTTCTGGACTAATTTGTTTACATTTTTGTAAAACTACAATCTATAATACACATAACATAAAAAGTATGTTAGTATAGTGTTTGTATAGAATCCACATGTAAAATTAATGATGTTTCACATCTCTTGGTATCTTCAGTCTCTTACGTACAGCCACCAACTCGCTCTAAGAAAAATATTTACCAGGCTTGGTGGCTCAGCCTGTATTCCCAGCACTTTGGGAGCCCAAGGTGAATGGATTGCCTGAGCCTGTGGGTTTGAGACCCACCCGGGCAACTTGGCGAGACGTGTCTCTACAATAAATAAAAAATTAGCCGGGTGTAGTAGTGCACACCTGTAGTTCCAGCTACTTTGAAGGCCTAGGCAGCATGATCACCGGAGCCCAGCAGATTGAGGCTGCAGTGGCCGGGAATATGTCACTGCTCTCCAGTCTGGGCAACAGAGTGAGACTCCAACTCCAAAAAAGCAAAAAATTTATAGTTAGTTATGAAACATTTATTATACCCCAAACACTGTCTTGTTGCTATTCCCTTTAATAGTCAGAACAACACAGACAAAGTAAAAGCAACCCCTTGACTTTTCAAATTTTACAAGTTATCACCTGAACAAATTGGCCCTGTGAAATCAATAAAATGAGGTATGTTAATCCCACAAAGTGATTTCTGTGGTATTCTTCAGTTGACAGCAAACATGAGAACTATTCATTGAAATGTAACTAGGAGCCGGGCTTGGTGGTTCGGCCTGTAATCCCGTGCCTTGGGAGGCTGAGGTGAGTGGATTTCCTGAGACTTTGGGTTCAAGACACGCCTGGTCAACTTGCTGAGACCTCATCTCTACAATAAATCAAAAATCAGCTGGGCGTGGTAGCACGCTCCTGTAATTCCAGTTACTCGGAAGGCTGAGGCAGAAGGATCGCCAGTGCCCAGCAGTTGAGGCTGTGGTTGTTATGAGTGGCCACTGCAGTACAGTCTGGGTGTCAGAGTGAGACTCCAACTCAAAAAAAAGAAAAAAAGAAAAAAAGAAATGTAACTAGGACTGACTGGCTCACCCTGTAACCCAGCACTTTAGGAGACCATGGTGAGTGGATTGCCTGAGTAGTTGAGTTCGAGACAAGCCCGGCAACTTGGTGAGACCTCATCTCTACAATAAATCAAAAAATTAGCTGGGTGTAGTAGCACGTACCTGTAGTTCCAGCTACTTGGAAGGCTGGGGCGGTAGGACGCCGGAGTCCAGCAGGTCGAGGCTGTGGTGTATAGGAGCATCTACTGCACTCCAGTCTGGGCGACAGATTGAGACTCCAACTCAAAAAAAAAAAGGGGTTTCTACGTTTGCCCAGCCACAGGCTCTGACCATTGTAACAGGCCCCCATATTTTCACTGTGCATCCTGGGGCTGTTAAACTATTGCTCCCTGGAAAAATGACGACCCCTACATAAGCCTCCAAAGGCAAACACCTACCAATCTCCCCACCTTGACTCAGTGTCTTGGTTACCCTAGCACCTGTAATCCACTAAAACTCAGGGTCATGGATTGGGATGCCTTTAGTATTCAAAAGGTATGGGAAACAGGTAAAAGTGGGGATTCCGAATATATGCGGCAGGGAGAGACCCAGGATGCCATCTACCATACAAAGAAGGTCCATTCCCTATGCCCCTAACCCGGTAGGACCAATACGCAATATCCTGCACGAACCAGCACCTCCCAGTCTTGTGCAGGCACTGAGTCCCAAGTTAACCACTCCCTCCGCTGTGCTTCCCCCTGTGCTGTCTATCCTGCCTGCTACTCAGCTTCCCTCTCCCCCACCTCACAACCAGTTTCTTCCAATGCTGTGGGCGGTTTACCAGCTTGTTAATGTAACTCGCCCTAACCTGGCAAAGGTCTGCTGGTTATATCTGGACCCTCATCCCCCATATTACATGGGAATCGGGGCTGTCTCCCCAGTTGGAGACATGGAGGAAAGTACACGAGTCCTCAATTTAACCATAGTACAGTACCAAGAACTGTGCTCATGGGGCACCCACCGAACTCTAACATTGGACGACCTCGAGGGGCAGGGGACTTGCCTTTTCTCCCTGCAATTGTCAATGAATAACTCTCCCCTTTGGGCGTTTTGCAGCAGCACCTCCTGCATCAATATGGTCAGCCTCTCAAACAAAAAACCCCCAACTAGCTGTGGCTTCCCCGACTACGTGGTTTGCCTGCACCCGGGGCATCACCCCATGCGTTGGTCTGTAGCACCTGCAAGTGGTGTCAGAACTTTGTATTCTGGTGCACATCTTGCCCCAAGTGTACATATATGAAGGGACAGAGGGAAGGGAGCACCTCCAACTCCCAAGACTTGCACGAACTAAGCATGCCCCCATTCTAGTGTCTTTACTTGTGACTTTAAGCATTACAGTGTCTACTGCCATGGGCACGGCCTCCTTAATTGTGAGAGATCAAAACCTCAGACAACTGAGTATGCAGGTCAATGCGGATCTAAGTTTTTTGTTTTTTTTTTTGAGTTGGAGTCTCACTCTGTCGCCCAGACTGGAGTGCAGTGGCCATTTTCGGCCACAGCAGCCACGACCTGTGGAGTCTAGTGTGCCCCAACTAGAGGAATAGGTTAACTCCCTGGCTGAAGTAGTGCTTCAGAATAGAAGAGGTCTTGACCTCCTCTTCATGAAACAAGGGGGACTGTGTATGGCCTTGGGAGAAGCTTGTTGCTTCTATGCCAAAAAGTCGGGAATAATATGACAAACTCTCGCTCAAGTAAGGGAAAATATGAGGCAGCAAGAGTTGAAAAATCAAGCCTCGGGGAACTGGTATCAGTCCCTCTTTTCTTAGTCCCCCTTACTCACCAACCTAATTTCAGCAATAGCCGGCCCTCTCCTTTTACTTTTAATAGGCATTACTATAGGACCCTGTGTTATTAGGCACCTCCTAACCTACATTAAACACAGCATCATGCCCGTAAAAATAATGGTTCTCAGGTCCCACTACACCCCTTTGTCAGAAGAGCCACTGATTTGACTCTCGTCACAACTAAAAAGGGGGGATGTAAGAGAGAGAAAAACAAAACAACACAAAAGAACAGCCTCTGTCTGTGCTATTGTAGGGGGGAGGGTGAAGGAGATGGGTTCAGCCTTGAGACAGGGTTTACTCCCTTCCTGGAAGGATTTCTTTGAAGGTTTTTCCTCTGTAAATACTGCAAGATAAACTGTATCTTTAACCACAACACTTTCCCAGTTAGCACACCTGTTAACTTGTTGATGGAGCAGAATACTGCGATGAGAGCCCTGGAAAATGTCCAACTTTAACTTTAGCTAACCAAGATGTAAGCTAGGACTACTTAAGGAAGCTCTGAGTGGGGACTCGGGGCGTCTTACTTGGGGCTGTCTCCCTGCAGACAGTCGCCAGCTGGCAGAGCCTTGGCTAATAAACTCCTTCATTAAAATTAAGCCGGTGGGTTGTTATTTAATTGCTCAGACTCTACTTCAGCCAGAACTACAGGCATGTGTTACGATGCCTGGCTAATTTTTCAATTTTTTATTGTAGAGATGAGGTCTCACCAAGTTGTCTGGCAAGGTCTTGAACCCACAGGCTCAGGCAATTCATTCGTCTCAGCCTCCCAAAGTTCTGGGATTAGAGACTGAGCCAATGAGAAAGGCCTTTTTTAACTTTTCTTTTTTTTTTGAGTTGGAGTCTCAACTCTGTCACCTAGACTGGAGTGCAGTGGCCACTCTCGGCCACTGCAGCCTCGACCTGCTGGACTTCGGTGATTCTTCGGCCTCAGCCTTCCAAGTAGCTGGAACTACAGGCACGCGCTACCACGCCTGGCTAATTTTTTGATTTATTGTAGAGATGAGATCTCGCCAATTCCCTAGGCAGTTCTCGAACCCGTGGGCTCAGGCAATCCACTCACCTCAGCCTCCCAAAGTGCTGGGATTACAGGCTGAGACACCGAGCCTGGCTCTTTTTTAACTTTTCAACCCCTATTGTTAAAATACATTTTATGCTTGATAAAAAACTGAAGTTGAAATAAGTGGATGCATTTTTTTTAAGTGTAGGTAGGAGAGGCAGTGACCGACACACAGACATGCCTGAATCAAGAGTCAAGTCAGGCCATTCTATGACTTGGGATGTTCTCTTATGCAATCCTGCTAACTAAAGTGCCTGGTGACCCCTCTCAGGAGACACTGAACTTGCTCTCCCATGT